TGTATGCCCTCACTTGAGTTCTAGCCAGAAGACTTCTCCATTGGTTCAAGTTGTTACAAAGTTCAGCTAGCAAGTTCCTTCTCTCTGTGTGTGATCCTTGAGGTAGCCCTCCTCAAGGATCCCTGTGAAGCAAGGCAGAAATTGGCTTGCTAGGTGACCCAGCAAGCCCAAGGAGATTTTCCTGCTGCTTCCTCTACCCCTGTATTTTGCTAAGCTTTCTAAATTGACTCAGCTCCAGGTAAGGTCAGAATCTTCTTCTGTAATCTATACATTCAGGTTCCCCAGTGAAGGTGTGTGTTCAGGGACACATGACCTACCTTTTTTGGGAGGATTTCTCTTTCCCTTCACAGTCTGAGCACTCGCAGTATTTGGGGTATCTCCTGGGTCCCACAGGAGCAATTACCTTCCTTCGGACGGTCTGTGGGTTCTCTGGGCTTTCCTAATATATTCCTGCAGCCGTTCTAGAGCAAAAGTTCATGAAGTAAGCATCCACATGCTGTTCTGCCTGTCCAAGTGGGAGCTGCAATCTAGTCCTGCCTCAAAAGTGTAATATTTTGAAGTACTTTTAAAAGGTATTAGGAAGATGACATAGTTAGATAGATTTTTTTTGTGGCTGGTCACATGGTTTTTAAATATTTTATACAGACAAAATTTTTATATGTTTTAGTTCCAGATTTCTAGAATTTATGCCACGCCTAGAAGAATCTCCAACACTCTTATGTTTAAAAAAAAGGATCTCTATTTAAAACTTCCATGAGACTTATTTTTAGAGATAAAGTTATGTATTTTTAAATGTTTAGTGCAATCTGATTTTTTTTGCTTTTTTTTTTTTATTTCGAATTTTCTTCTAAAATAGATTTTGTACTTTGTAAAATGCCTTTTCAGTATCTATGATGTGATAATATGTAAATCAAATATGTATTTGTATATATATATATATATATATATATACACATTTTATATATGTGTGTGTGTAAATATCTACATCATATATATGTGTGTATGTATATATGTACTTTAAAGAGACAGGACCTTATTCTGCTACCCAGGCTGGAGTGCAATGGTGCCATCATAGCTCATTGCAGTCTTAAACTGGGCTCAAGCCATCCTCCCTCCTCAGCCTCCCTAGTAGCTGGAACTATGGAGGTACCACCACGCCTGCCTCCTAAATCATATATATTTTTTCAAATATGTTTTCAGCAGTTTAAGAGCTTACAAAATAGCTATGTAAAACAAGATTACTGAGTACTCTTGATAAGAAAAGGCTTCTTGGATTACAAGGATGTTAGAAAAAAGCTATTTTTTCTAAAGGTCCTAAAAATATCTTTTTTTCTAAAGCCCTTCTGCTCCAGGCTGGAAGTAAAGTGAGCTGCTATAGTCTTTCTCACAGCATTTGGAGAAGTCACATGAGCTACGTGATGTAAACTGAGAAGACATTCTAATGAGAAGTAAAGGATCTACATTCTATCTCTTTTTCTTTTTTTTTTCGACAGCAGATACTGTGAGCCCTTGTCTGTTTGCCTTCTGGGCAGGAAGGGAGACAGACAACTGCAGACATATTAGTGCAGCAAAGTTCAAGCCAGTTGCTTTATAGAAAGTCATTGTGTCATTTGGTTGATGTCCCTAAGGTAGTCTAAGAAGAGGAATGAATGCTACTACCTTTTCTTACCATTATTACCATATCATAGTCAAGAGTAAAAAGAAACATAGGTTTGCATAATTCTATTTGCCTTGAAATAAAATTGGATAGGGTACAGAACTATGTAACAGAGCAGTACATGCTCCAAAATTAAGTCATTGGCACACAAAGACATGACTGTCATCCTCTAGCTGGTGATATCCAGGCCTCTTTTGTGCACATATGGGTGCATGGCAGAAAGCAAATCATCCTAGCTTCTAAGCTTCTAATTGGTATGAAACACTGGGATTAAATAGACCTTAGATTTAGATATCCTGTTTAGCTCCATTCCTTCCAACAGGAGTGCAAATTTTGCTTCTGGAATTTTGAAATTTTTATTTCCCAGGTTTACACAGCCTGGGTCTGTTCTGAGTAGAACACAGGGTTTCTGCACCAATGCTCTTTCATCTCCACACAGCCTTTGGGGTGAATCTTCAAAGGCTGGAAGCTTCTCTTGATGCATAACTCTTGTCTTCCAGTACAGCTAATGTCAAACGCTGCTATTACAGCCAATCTGTCTTCTTTTATGATCATTGGAGCAAGCTGGCTGAACAATCTGGAGAAGACTTGAATTCCCTAAAGCAGAGGTTGCTTCAGAGGAATGTTTCAAGGTGTCTCTTTCCTAGGGAGCTCATTTTATAAGGCACCAAGACGTTCATGCATGCCCTGAAGAAATCAGTTTCAACTTCATTGGATTTCATTTCCCTAAATAGCTGCCTTTCACTATAATGTCACTTAGCTGTGATTTTATACAGATTCCATAAACAAGAGCCCAAAGATAAGCAGACATGGACTTCTAAGTAAATGTTAAATCTGGCAACACAGTGAATTTTAGAACCATCTCTGGGACATTAAAGGGAAAGTATGTGGGAGGAATGACGAGACTTTCAGATGATTTTATAGGTTTTTATTGTTGTCTTCAAGTTTATAAAGCATATCTCTTTTCTTTGAGGTAGTTCCAATATTGAGTGTGCTCTTTCTTTTGTCAATCATTTAAACAAGTTGACAAAGGAGAGCGATTGATATTCACAGATTGCCAGTTTTCAGCAACTCAAAAATACCCACCTGTTATCTTGTATTCTGAGTCAAAGAGCGACAAATTCTTTTTTGAAGTTAATGAATGGCATATTTTATCTGTAGTATACTAAACTAAGGTTAAGATCAAAAGATCTCTCTTATTCTCATGATAGTGATTGAAAAAATAAGTCCTGATTTATCAATTATTCAACTCCACCTCCATTGTTGTATTATCTATCCCACTAGTGATTGAAATTGTCTCCTAGTAGGTTGCCCAGGTGAGACACAGGAACATACCCACACACAGGTATGTATGTGTCAGTGCGCCATGACTGTGTATCCAAACATAAGATTATTTTACTGATATAAACAATGTGCAGCACACAATTTATGAATAACGATACAATATGCAATAACCTATTATTGTAAGTTCGTATAACCAGATGAGTTTTATGGGGTGGTTTTGTCGACTTTTGCTGAATGATTTTATCTGCAGTACATAAAGTCTCTCTCATATATTCCTTTTTGAAAATTACTTTACAACCTTTTAAAAACGTAAAAATTAGTCTTAACTTACAAGCCATAAAAAATACGGGCCTCAAACCAGACAAGCCAGGCGGTTTTCTGATCCCTGGTCTAGACATTCCACAAAACAAGAAATCAGTCCCTGATTTGTAATGTTAGTCAGTCTCTGCGGTGTAGGTATTTCCACTATGGTAGACTTCAAGCTGTCGAAGGGATTTCACTGAACACGGAAGTGGGAAGAGCTGTAAGGTAGCAACCCAACAGACACTATTCCTACAACATAGATAGAATAGTCACAAAATTCCTCCAGAGCATCTCTAGTTAAAAGATAGACAGGCACATAGATATAATTTATGAAATAATTAGAAATCAATGAATTTATTAGCTTTAAAACTAATTTCAAGGTTATATAACTTTTTTAATATAATTTTTCTTTCTTTTTTTTTTTTTTTTTTTAGATGGAGTCTCACTCTATCCAGGCAGGAGTGCAGTGGCGCGATCTTGGCTCACCGCAACCTTCACCTCCTGAGTTCAAGTGATTTGCCTGCCTAAGCCTCCTGAGTAGCTGGGGCTACAGGCATGTGTCACCATACCTGGATAATTTTTTTGTGATTTAGTGGAGACAGAGTTTCACCCTGTTAGCCAGGATAGTCTCAATATCCTGACCTTGTGATCTGCCTTCCTTGGCCTCCCACAGTGCTGGGATTGCAAGCGTGAGCCACCGTGTCCAGCCAACTTAATTTTTAATAATGGCTGGGTTAACCAAGAGCTCACAAAGTTTCTGAAAATCTATCATTTGTAACTCATGAACTGGTAACAAGCTGACTTAAACACAGCACTGATGGCCTATTCTTTTGAATTCCATAAATACTGGATGGTCTGACATTTCATGAACTGTGCTCTGGCATGCCTCCCTGATCTTCTAACCCAATTCTTTCACGACTTAGCAGCATCACCTGCTAGAAAACTTTTGCCATTTTTCAAAGTCGAATTAAGTACCCTCTTTCCTATATAAATACATAATACATAAATATAAAATTTCTGTATTCTAAGCCCTCAGTGACAAGGCATCATCCACTGTAGCCTTTACCTCCTTGTTCTGCGGGGTCTTATCTCAGTTTCTCCAACTCAGCAACTGAATGTTTATGGCCCAACAGAACCTGGTGAACATCAGGGGCACAACTTGCATTCTTTGAACTGAACTACTAGCAAAGATGGTGAACTCTAGGCTGCGAGTTTGCAGAGATTTGTGCAACTTTCTTTGTATTGTAGAATTGGTACATTTCACTATACCTCTTCTATCAAAGAGCAGGGAAGAAACAGCTCGGCACAGTATTAGTCAAAAGTTTGCATCGGAAGAGTGAAAGTCAGAGTATTGCCTTGACTGTAGGTTTTAGATTCCATTGGTTTTGTTTATAATTTAAATATCTTTCATCACCACAGATAATTGAAGTCCTTTTTTAATGGAGGTACATAACCAAGAGACTAGGCAGTGGTACAGAAAGACTACAAACAGTTAAAAAAAAAAAGTGAGGAGGAGACCTGTTGATTTTAAAATGTACACAGCTGCTACCTTGTGATTTAGCCCATCACTCCCACTGCTCAGATTCTCTGGCTGCACTGCTTTTCTTGTAGACTATCTGGCATAGATGGAGGAAGGTAAGTCCCAGGGTAAGACTCCTCAGTGCCCCACCTCTTCTCTCAGTTGATCTGCTTACTGATTTTCTTGCTGCTTTCATCGAAGCAAGGGTCCTGGGAGGTGGGGGGAAGATCAACTCACCTCATAGTCAATGTCTAAGGCGTCCGTCTCGCCCTTGGTGCGGAAGTGTTGCGTGTGCTTGTCCACAGTGAAGTTCACCTGCTTGCCCACCCGCTCGATGAGAACTGAGTGCCAGTGCTGGTCATCCAGGAGGCTGCCCAGGGTGGCGGAGGGCAAGCTGCTGCTGAGCCTCGCTTTGCTGTCATCTGTAAAGAGGGGAGAGGGGCAGGATGATGTCTGTGTCTCAGGGCAGCTTTGCACATCAGAAAACTCCACAAGCAAAGCCATCTATCTCTGTTGTAAAGAC